CGCTAGAGTGTTCGGCCTCTTCGCCGTCCTCGAAGCCCTCGACGGCGGCGCGAACCCCGTCTTCCGGCGAGCTCGGAGCGCGTGTGTCTGCGTCGATAGGGCTGTCCGGTTCTCCCGCTGGACTGTCGGCGTTACGGGGGGTGTGGGCATCCCGAGGCGACAATTCGCAAGGAGTCAACTCTTTCTCCTCGTCCATATAAATATGGATCAGTAAAAAAGCTTCTAATCACACACACTGCGGGCCACTGCTTGGAAACAGCCACAGCGCTCACTGTGCAGTCTTCATGCAGCGCTGGCCTGCGTTGTCGAGTAGTGGAACCCCCACCACTCAGCCAGGCAGGGAACGAAACTTTTCGACCAGGTAGTGAAGTCCCAGGTAGGGGTCCCAGGTAGGGTGTCCCTTACGGCCCCAGGTAGGGAGTTCCTTACGGCCCCAGGTAGGGAGCTCGCATAATTGAGTTTCACCATTGACGGGGAGTCCGACTAGTGGACTGGGACCAGTGGGAGACCACCGCGGTCGTCCGAGCACTGCTCGTCAGCTGCGGAATTGGTTCACCCACGAGCTGACGCGGCTGAGCACTCTGTTTGCGTCTGCTACATTCTGGCCGATGGTTTGCAGCCCGCCGCTGATTCCCTGCATGCGCTCCTTCTGGCGTTCAAGTTGCGCGGCGGTGTGTGCAGCTGTGTGCTGAGCGGCGACTCCCATGGACAGTATCGTATTTAGCTGGCCGAGGTCGTTCTGCATCGTGACGGTCTTTGCCGCAGCCTCCATCCCGCGCGATTGCAAAGCCTTTTGTCTGCTGAGCAATTCTTCAGGCGCGGGATGCGCTGTGGGATGCGCGGGATGCGCTGTGGGATGCAGTTTATTAGGGGCATTGGTAGCGAGCTGGGAACTCGGTTTATGACAGGGGGTGGTTGTAGCAGAAGGGTTTAGGGATCGAGGCCTAACCAGGCAGGGATCACCAGGCGGGACCGTTAGACTATAACATGACTCATAAGTAGCGATTAAGGCACGCAGCTCATTAGACCCTTTTGTATTCAAACCGCCCGATTCCAGCTGGTTTAGACGCGACTGAAAAGCAACAACAGTGATGCCAACCAGCGAAATTTTTACCTCAACTTCATGCCGATATATTTCGCATTGGTCCATGTCTGACAATGGAAATTTTGGCCACCGACTACTCTTCCCCTGCCCCAACTACACACGATGAATGGTCAGCTTTGTTCAATCAATATCTCGGCCACTTACTCTGTCTAAAAATACACTTCATTGAGAGCAAGAGAGTTGATTACATCACCACAGCCATACGGACAAACGCCAAGAAAGGCATCTGCAAAAATCAAATCCCAGAATGTGAGGCGATCGCAGCCGGGCTGGATGCTACATGCATGTCTTCCCCGGTAGTGGTACTTTGCAACGGAACACTCTTTGTCAAAAGTTTGTGGCGCAATAGTTCGGAAATAGTTTGCAAAGAGGGTCCAATGCAACACCGTCCAATGCAACACCGTCCAATGCAACACCGTCCAATGCAGCACTGTCCAATGCAGCACTGTCCAATGCAACACAATCATTTATTCACAATCATTTATTGCTTGTTAGTTGTTGCTGCACCGACCGACGGGGCGTTGGATATAATAAGAGAATGCTTGCATGAGTTGCGGGAAGCGGAGAACCAGATATTGACGGCCTGGTCTAGCTTGGTGGAAGCGACATTTCGATGTCTGCGTTCAGAGACGGAGTGTTCTTATCGTCGCCGTTCGGGAACGTCAGTACAGGGGTTTCCTCGAGCAATGGTTGCATTGTGGGAATGTCGTCTTAAGTGTATGATTCGGATCACGCCAGTGAGTCGGGCTGCTTCGTTTAAGAGTGTTGTATCCGAGAAGCGGTGGACGGCCATCCAGCACTTTGACATAATTGAGAGGCTCTTATCGGCCAGTGCACAGACGGGGGGAACGCGTGGGGAAGGCGACACCGAGGCCGAAATCGTGTCTGCTTTTCGAAGCGAGAAGGAGCTGGCAGAAGGTCAGCTGGCAGAAGGTCAGCTGGCAGAAGGTCGACTAATACCAGAGGACATGGACCTGCTGTACGGTGTTCCTCAGCTGACGTTTGGCCTAATGCCTGGGACTCTGCCGTCAACCTCAGATGGCCGGAGGTTAGTTATATTGCTTTCCATTTTGTGCTACCTAGCCAACTCTACTGATATGCAAACGTTACAGTGGGCTGCAGACTTGGTAGAGCAGTGGATAAACGAGGAGACTCAGAGCCGGAAAATAAATGACAACGATTCACAGGACAACGGTTCAGAGGACAATGATGTGGAGCATAGCCTCGATGGGGCCAGACTCTACCAGGCGATTGAATCCGTAGACGACGGGCGTGATAGCCCAGAGGGATCGGTTTGCGACGGTTCACTTATCTACGCCCTGGCGAATAGGTCAGAGGACCTCTCCCTGGTCCGATATTATGTCGAAGCGAAGTTTGTCAAGACAGTTCTGGGTACGTCGCCTCCAGGGAACTTTCAGTTACTGCGATCTCTCCCTGTTTCGGCACACAATAGAACCTACTGGGTAACGTTGATGGCTTCTGCATACATCCAAGGGCATCAGCATCTCCATTTTTACGGCAATAATCGACTACGTGACGACTACGAAACTCTCCTACTCAAGTTTGCACAGCCCTCGACTATAGAGGCTTACTTGAAGCTGTGGCTTTGTCTATATGACCGCCTAACGCGTGGGAATTGCCATTGCTCCAGTCTTGACAACGGGTCTTCTTCAACTCGCTCAGTCCGCTTGATCGGGTCCGGCGATCATCTGTATTCTCTATTATCATCTCTAAGAGATCTCGTCCACAGTTATGCGCACGGGTTCTCTGGACCTGCAACATTTACGTTGGAATCGACAGACGCGCTACAAGGCCCTACTACCCCGGATGGCGTGTGCACTCCTTCGTCGGCAGGCGAGGCTGTCACCAATCAGGATGTCACCAATCAGGATGTCACCAATCAGGATGTCGCCGCCTTCGGCCCCCTGACGTCGGACCCGGACGGCCACGACAATACTCCCAAGCATTCCCCCTCACCCAAGCGTTCCCCCTCACCCAAGCGTTCCCCCTCACCCAGGCGTTCTCTCTCGCCGAAACGTTCCGTTTCGAAGCGACGGTCGCAGGACGACCGGACAAGCGCTAGGGATGGAGCGACGAACGCTGTGGCGCACGTGCGGTGCGAAGCTGACGGCGCCGGGCAGAAGGAGATGAGCGACGACGAGTTCGTTGCGCTCAAGTCCGCTATCTGTTTACACAACATCTTCCGCTACTGTCTGCGACGCGACCTGGGCCTAGAAGGCCAGTTTACTCGTTCTCTGATTTGTTTGCTGCACTCGAGAGAACTGCCCTCCTGGTTCAACGCCCAGGGCTTTGTCATCTGGTGTGCATGGGCGGGCGTGCACCTGGACATCCCCTACATTCTCCAGCATCTCAATATACGTCATCGAGAATGTAGGCACAGACGCTGACTCCCCCCCCCCCCCCCCCCCCCC